AAACATTTCACACACGCGCGCGCGCACTCACGCGCACACACACACACACGTCAAAATTTTAAAATGTTTTAATTAATTGGTTGATTTAATAAAAAAAAAAACAATTATAGCGCTATAAATCATTTTGTATTTTTTTTTTTGTCTTTCGTGAGTTTAAAAATTATAATTGGTTTTATTATTATTATTATTATTTGATTCACGTTGAAGTGTTTGTTTGAAAACAAACAAAAAAAGATTATTGTTACTGTTGTTACTCTTGTTGTTGTTGTTTACATCAATCTTTTTTTTTTTATGTTTAAACTTTGTTTTTTACCAAAACCTGAAAAATAAATTCGACAAAAAAACAAAATGAAAACGACGTGGGAGGGTGTGAGGAGGGTGGGGGAAGGGGAGGGGCGGGCCATGAAAAAAAAAAAAGGAAAAAAGTAGAAAATTTAATTATAGCTCTGCTGAAACGAATAATTTTTGTTTCTTTTTCGCTTTTGCTATATTACCCCTATAAAATAACTAAAAAAAAAAAAAATTAAAATTAGGCGTGAGAGAGAGAGAGAGAGAGAAAGAGAGAGAGATAGAAAATATTTTTTATGTTTATAATTTTCTTTTTTAAGGTTTTGTAAAATAGTTTTTTTTTTTTTTTTTTAATAAAAATATATATAAAAATAATTTACACATTAAAAAAAAAAAGGTTTTGACGTAAAAAAAAATTTTTTTCCCTTTTTCATCTGCAGCAAAAACAGCAGCAGTAGCAGAAGAGGGAGGAAAAACAGGAGCAGGAGTAACAACAGCAAAATAAATATTAATTTCAATTTTCGTTAAAAAATAAAAATAATAATAATAATAATAGTAAAAGTTATAATTTTTTCTTTTTTTTGTCGGCGTTTAATTTAAAAAAAAAATTTTAATCTGAACTTCGTAAACTGAACTGTTTGCCGTTTGTATGTTTGTTTGCTTGTTTGTATTTGTTGAAATTTTATATTTTATTTAAGGAAATAATTATTTTTATTACCGAAAGGGAAAAAAAATGCGACAAATTAATTTTTTACGTTTTTTTTTTTTAATAAATAATAATATAATAAAACAAACCGATAAACAAACGAACAAACGAACAAACATGAAAACGCAATTATATTTTTTTTATTTTTCTGTTATTTTTTTGTTTTTTGTTTGTAAATTTATAAATTTTACATTTTTAAAATTAATATTGACTTATTGATTTTTTTTTTTGTTTTCTGTCGGAAGTCGGAAAATGTCGGAAAAATAGAACGAATAAACAAATCCGGTTACAATTTTTAATTTTTCGGTTGTTCACGAATGTTTTATTAAAATAATTAAAATCTTTTTTCCGTTTGTTTGTTTTCATTTGTCAAAAATTTTTTTTTTCGTTCGAAAAACGGTTACGTAATGAAGTTTAACAATTTGAACCTTTAGTAACCGGAAGCTACTAAAAGGAAAACAACAGACGTCGGGGTCTTGTTACGCAAAAACTTTTCCGAATGTTTAAAATAAAAAAAATTTGTACCATAATTTTTTATTAACCTTTTCATCCGACGACAGACGACGGGGATTTCATGTTTTTAAAATAAAAAATTTTTTTTTGCATTATGATCATCCATCCCATCAAATAATTTACTATATTTTTATTATCCCTCCCCTCTCCCTCTCCCCCTCCCTCTCTCTCATTCACTCTTATCTTTAATCATTTTTCTTGCCATAAAACCTTTTTTTCTTTTTCGCGTTATCATTAATCCTCTCATTTTCATTTGTTTTTTCCCTCCCTCCCCCTTTTCCTTTTAATTCGACTTGAGAAACATTTGAACAAACTCTGGGGAGGGGGAGGGGGAGGGGGCGAGTCATGTCGAGTAAAAGAAATTTTTTGAATTTATGAATAATGCATAAAAGCAACAGTTATTATTGATTAACACATTTTTTGTAACCGAATTAATAAAATTATTTCATTCGTAAAAAATTCCACATAAAAACAGAAAAAAAGGTAAACGATAATCGAAAACCTAAATTTAATATTAAATAATAATAATAATAATAATTTTAAAACGATTTGTCATGTGCATTTATTGAATAATGACGTAACGTTTAATTACGTAACATTTTTTTTTTTTTTTATTGATGACGTTGATGATTTAATACTAAAAAATAATGATTATAATAACAATAATAAAATTTTAAATAATAATAATAATTATAATAATAATAATAATTATAATTATAATAATAATAATAATAATAATAATAATAATAATAATATAAGTAAATCGTAATATTATAATGTAAAAAAAATTTTTTTTTTTTTGTAAAATCAAATTTTAACTTATGTGTTCACTTAAGGCGTTTTGAAAATATTACGTAATTATTTTATATATAGATTTGAATATTTAATATTAAATATGAAAATATAATTGTGAAAAAAAATTACTTTTATATGAAAAAGAATTTTAATCAAAATTTAAAAAAAAAAAAAAAACGTTACGTCGTTATCATTATCGTTATCATTCCCTTAAATTATTAAAAAAAATTAATATTTGCAATAAGGAGAAATTTATTTATAGTTTTTGTACCTGAAAAAAAAAAAAAACTGCGCGTAATTTATGCACTTTTTCTTTTTTTTATTTTAACACGCGTATGAATAATTTTTAGATAATAATGATAATAACTTTTTGTTTTGTATATATATGTATATGAATTTTTTTTTTTTAATTAAATGATGAATATAAATTACAACTTAAAAATTTTGTTTTTTTTTTTTTTTCACGCCCTTATTTATTTTTTTAAGGCCTTTTATACCGTATTTGCAAAGAAGGAATGGAAGGTATGGGCGGGGAAGGGGGAAGGGGAGAAAGGTGAAAGGTAGAAGGGTAAAAAATAAAAAATAAAAATAAATAGAAGCAAATTTCAAAACACGTTTTGTACGGGAGCAACAAAAAAAAATTAAAAGAGTTTAAGGTTTTTGCCCCGAGGAACCCTTAAAAAAAAAAAAAATTACCTAAATTTTACCTTAGAAAATTATACAAATTTGAATATAAATTACCGTGGTAATAAAATTTAAATTAAAAAAAAATTTTTTTTTTTTTTATAAAATTTTTATGATTTTTGTACGGAAAAATAAGATTTTTTTTTAAAATTGACTCATCGATCGTTTAGGTTATAATTAAAAGCGTAATCTTTATAAAATTTCAATTTGATTTTTATATATTTTTGATTTTAACTCTCTCATCTATTAATTATTTACAATTAAAATAAAATTTCAATAAGAAATTTTACTGGAAAAAAACTTAAGAAAAAAAATAGAACAATTTATTATTATCATCATTATCATTATTATTATTATTTATTAATATTTTTATTTTTTGAATATTATTTAAGAAACGTTTTTACCTGGGATTGCAATAGAAAAAAAAAAAAAAAAACAATTCAAACTTTTCTATTTTATTATTTTTGTTTTTGACATTTTAAACGTGAATTATTTATAAAAAGGTCTCGTTATAATTGTTGTAGTTTATGCTTAAAACAGATTTTCTATATCTCAACCTTTTACCGGAACTAAACAGATTTTACAACGGGAATTTTCAAAATTATTACTCTCTCACTTGGCAAGAGAAAGATAGAGATAGAGAGAAAACTTTATTAAAACAAAACTTATTTCTTCTTTAAATTTTATAAATAAAATTAATAATATCTTTGTTCATAGATTTTAAATTTCCTTCCCTTCTTCCAAACAACCTAACAACCAAACAACCAACCAACCAACCATCCATCCATCCATCCACTTCCTTTTTTATTATCATAACAATTTATTTAAATATTAACGCGGACATTATTATACTTTGATTTCTATAATTTTCTGACAAACATTTAAACATTGTTATTAAAATTAAATTATTTACAAAACATCTCAATCGTAAATGAATAAATAAATAATTTTAAATTGTTTATTTTCTATTTGAATTAATTTGTTTAAGTTGGTATTAATAACACCTTTTTTGTACGAATAAATTACAGGTAGCAACCGGAAGGGGAACCATATCTCATTATTATAATCTTCACGTTGCCGTACCATCGGCATTTATATTGGGTAGTGGTGAATATCACATAGGAGAAGGAAGTACCATTAGTCTCGTTTGTATTATAGAAAATGTAAGTAATAATAATAATAATAATAATAATAACTATTAAACGAATTCCTGTCTATTGTTATAAACGTTTTTTTTTTTTGAAATTTAAATTTCACGAGCGTTTTTTATTATTATTTGTTTATTCGTTTTTTAAAAAATAAATAAATAAATAAAGTGTAAATAAAATTTAAAATCGAATAAAAAATAAGAAAAGTAGGAAGAAGAAAAAAAAACCACAAAAAAAAAGAACAATTCGACAATGAGAAAAAAAAAATCGGAAGAAGAAACGTGTTTGACGGTTGGAGAATTAAAACGATAAACAATGGCCGACATTCGAATCGTCCAAAAAAATAAAATATAAAATGCCTGAGAGTTTTACTTTTCCTACGTTAAAAACTTTTAAGAAAATTTTATTGTGAAAATAAAAAGAGAGGAACCGGAAAAAAAAATAAATGCAAAATGTTCGCGTGCCCGTATGCGTGCGTGTGTGCGTGTTTGTACGCATAAAAAACAATAAAAAGCAGAAGACGTATTATACTCCTCGTCGTCGTAATTTAATTCAAATGATAAAAAAAAAATTTTATTAAATTTTTTCTTCATAAAAAACAATTTTTATTAATAAATAAATTATAATCAACGATCGACGTTATCATCATTATCATTATCATCATCATCATCATCATCATTATTATTATTATTAAAGTCCTCGTGAAAAAAAAAGAAAAAAAAGAAAAGGAAAAAAAAAGGAAACTTATAAATTATAAATAAGAAAATAGTATTAAGTTATTAATGAATGTTATTATTAATTAATTATTAAAAAGATTATCTTATAGTCCGATTATTATTATTATTATTACTGTAAGTTTTCATTTTTTCATTACTGTTATTATTATCATTATTATTATTAATTATTTCAAATTAAAAAAAAAAAAAATGGGGGCGGAGAAAAAATTTAGGGCGCGATTTTCTTATTTTCCATTATCTAAAAATTTTCCAGTAAAAAAAATTATTATTTACAATACGTAGTAATAAAATGTTTTCATTTTTTTTTTTCACTTCCAAGATTTAAAAAAAAAATTTTTTTTTTTTTGGAACAATTCCAGTGTTGCCACTCTCACGCTTGAAAATTTTTTATTTCTCTTTTCATTATCATTATCATTTTTTTTTTTATTTTTTATTTATTTTCAAATATTAGTTGAAATTTAAATTTTATTTACGATTAACAAAAGTGTTTTCAACGGAGGTTTTTTTTTTTTTATTCTTTTCCTTTTATTCCTTTCCATTTTTTTTCCTTTTCATATTTCCTTTTATATTTCGTTCACAACAATTAACAACACAAAAGCTTCAGCAGATTTTACGATGGTGAATTATAAAATTTTTTATTAGAATTAAAAAAAAAAAAGAAAATAAATTTTTTTTTTTTTTTTAAACGAATTGTCGCGTCGCAAAAAAATTTCCCATAGCAAAAAATAAAAATTGATTGTAGCTAAATAACGTTACGAAAAATCAGGAAACGATTATTATTATTATCCTTAGCAAAATTTTATTTAATGATGTATTATTATTTTGAATTTAATTTTAGAGGCATGAAAGTAAAGAAAAAAAGAAAAGAAAACTTGACATTTTTCTCACGTGTACAAAAAAAAATTTTCCGGTCCGATAATTATTATTTATTTTTCAAAAGGTAATTATTATTATTATATTACGTCGAAAAGGTTTTTCCTTTTTCTTTTTAAACGAACAAAAAGGTTTTTTTTTATGGCCTTAATATTTGTTTAAAAAAAGTTTTTAAAGACAAAGTAAAAAAAAAAAAATTCAATCGATAATTATTTGTTCTTGTACGTACATAAAAAAGGAAAAGAAAACCTTTTTACGTGGATTTAGGTCGTTCGTCCTTACGATGGTTAAAAGGATCAATAAAAAACCTTTCGATTGTATTATTCCGAAGGTTCGTTTTTTTAGAAAAAAAAAAATTTTTCCTTTTTTTTTTGTAGTCCAAAGGAATATTTTATGGTTTGAAAATTAAATTTTTTTTTTTTTTTACAATGGATCCGTAATTAAAAAAAAAGGAAAATTTTTTTTTTTTTAATATTTACATAATTGTTTAATTAAAGAAGATGATAAATTTTTAAAAAATTCAATTGCGAATTCAATCA